TTGATTTATGAATCTAAGAATCGCATGCTAGCTAGGTCTAGGGGAGATTCCTTTATATATTGTATGAACAGGTTGACTTGCCTGCTAGTGTTGAGTAGTCAGTGATAGATTGGCCTGATACGTGATGCTTGTATCCTTGGGGATACTGGATGCCATGCTAGAATGAGAATGACTAGTGGTATAGGTAACTGCTAAGTGTATGCTTTAAAAAAATTTATACGGTTAGGATCTTATAGCCTTAGAATAATTGATTTGGCCTTATTTCTTGTTCCTTTGTCTAGTTGTAATCCTAGGGTATAATCTATTATTCGACAGTCTATTAGATCCTATTTTTTGTATAATTTGCATGCATAAGGCAGCCGACAGTGAGGGTGGATGTTGCCAGCATGAGTTTTGGTATGTAGGCTGAATTTTCTATTATAGTTCATGGGTCGGAGATTACCCTAGGGTAAGCCTAGGATGAGATTTGTGACAACAGTTAGTTGATTGCGAATTGTATGTGTGGATAAATTTGCTAAATTGGAGTATGTTGGTTAGTTTTCCGTTGTCCGAATGTTGCTTGCTTTGTGCTTTTTAGGACTCTTAGCAATGTGAATTAGCCACTAAGTGAATATGCTAAGTCACATGTAGCATAGGTTGGATAATGTCAGAGTGATGGACTTGACCCTATTGTGCAGCTTTCGTTTGAGTCCAACCGTTCTAGGGTTGAGACTTTTACTCCAAGTGTTATCCAATCTCTGTTGCATGTGGCTATATTCATGAGGTTGCTAGTTGACATTAATGGGAGTTCTTCAGCAGCTGAGGACAGGGTGAGGTAGGGAACCTAAGAAATCCTAGGATATGTTGCATTGGGTTGTTAGTATGGTCCATTGAGTATTATCATAACGGTCTGTAGAAGTGCCTTAGAGGATTCAGGAGGATTGTTGAGGAAAGTATAGATAGGTGCGGAAGGTATTATTGGGACCGTACGACTGAAAGCATAGGATCCATACTTGAATCAGTGAGAGTCTTAGAGAATCTAAGAAGCTTATGGGAAGGAGAATTCTTGGTTATGCTCTTATACTGGGGATGACTGCTTTGTCAAGATGAGGATGAGCACATATGAGGAAGCTCTAGGGTTTGGTCCTGGCACCGGTGGTGATCCAGTTAGTGGAAGGATTGTTGGGGTTGTGAGTTCTCCTTAATCTCGTGTATCAAGCAACAAGGATTGATTGTGCGGTCTATTACACTTTGGGATTGGAAATTATGTTTTGGGACTAGTTTGTATCCCGGTTTAGGGCAGAGGTCACTTCAGGTACTACAGTTCATCCATGAACAATTTAGCTGGTGGGTGTGTCACGGTGCGAGACCCTGAATGATATGATTTCTAGAGCCCAAGAGCGGGAGATTGAATTGGAACACATTGGGAAGACAGGACCAGATCAGGTGCACATATTGGAGGGTTCCGGGAAGAGACTGAAGATTTCAGATTAGCTTTCGAGAGGCCTACAGGGCCGGATTTGGTGCGGCATTCTCGGGAAACCGCACGATTGAGTTTTCATTCCAAGGATTAGGGAAAGTATGTCTCTGGGTTTGTTACACTATTAGTGTGGGGTTATATCTTCAAGTGATGACACATGCCATTTGCATGTCGTGATTTATTAGTGGTTAAAGAAAGTTCATTTCTCTAATGCACATTGGGGGTGTTCAATATTAACTTGGGTTATGGTTGAGATCGGTTCAGGGATATTATGTGGGAAGGTCCATGGTCAGGGTTCATCAGGGTGGTTATCCACCATCATCAGGATTTAGTGGTTCCAGTCATTGTGCTCAGATTGTCTAACAGGATCGCCAAGGGAAGTGGTCTATTGCTGAGGTTTTGGTATAAGAATCTGTCATTTGGATTTCAAGATTTGAGTGTAGTATCATTTCAAATCTATTAGGATTATCATTGTTGCTAGGATTCGACAAGTATTCATCCGTGGTTAGCGTTCAACAGGGTGGTTATCCACCATCATCAGGATTTAGTGGTTCCATTCATTGTGCTCAGATTGTCTAATGGGATCGCCAAGGGAAGTGGTCTATTGCTGAGGTTTTGGTCTAAGCATCTGTCATTTGGATTTCAAGATTTGAGTGTAGTATCATTTCAAATCTATTGGGATTATCATTGTTGTCGGGATTCGACAAGTATTCATCTAGTCTTCAGTGTGTGTCCTTTTGAGTTGGCTAGTAATGGATCACTAGCAAGGCTAAGTGTTAGTAGTCAACGGGTCGATCGTTGTAAGGTAAGAAGGATAAAGAATCATTCAATTCTCGTGTGCTTTGAGAATTTAGTTGATTCAAAGTAGGCGAGAATCGCCTGAGATACAAAAGAAGGAGCATTTTTGAAATTAGGAAACGGTTATGTGAGTTGGGAGTTCAGTAAAACTCCCCAGCATGTGAATCACGTCTTCTTGGAGCTTGGTGGTAGAATTTGGGGAAGTAGGTTGGGGTTCCAGTCATGAATTGAGTTCAGTTCGGGTGTTCGGTCGACTGTGTGCTCGACTCTATATGCGTTTCAAATTGATAGATTACGGGTAAGGCATTGGGTTGCAGCCGTGTTAGGGAAAAAGTGTTGTAAGACTACGGGGAAGCCGTAGCATTCACTAATGGCCAGTTAGAATGAAAGTCTTTTACGACTACAGGGTAGCCGTAGCATTCACAAATGGTCAGTTAGGATGAAGGTGTTGTAAGAATACGAGGGAGTCGTAGCATTCACTAGTAGTCAGATAGTGTGGAAAGTGTTTTAAGATTGTGGGAGTGTCGTAGCATTCACAATCCATCAGATAGTGTGGGAATTATAGAAAGACTACAGGGTGGCCGTGGCGTTCATCGATTCGTTCAGATGAATTAGGCCGAGGTGGGGCAATTCTCAAGGTTTTGAGTAGGTCAAAACATAATTGGAATCAAGAAAAGGTAGGTCAAAGGATACCACATATGATGTAAGACTACAGATATTCTAGTAGTATTCACCTTTTTGCGTCGGATTCAGTGGCAACAGGTTGTCAGCCTATCATGATCGGATGGATCGAATGCTTGAAGGAGACATGAGTGGTGGTATAGATAGGGAAATTACTATCAGACGAGGTATCCTTCGGAGGTCATGAGGGACTGTTGTGTGTATATTCCTGGCCCAACAATCAGTTAGGTGTCCAATGTTTGATTAGATATTACCTGTGAAGTTTTTGTTGGGAGTCACGAAGGGTGATAGTGTAGGAGACTTTTTGGCTCAGTAACTGGGTTGGAACCCAAAATTTCAGATGAATGTCTGATGAATAGAGACCAGGGAGGTCTCGATGGATTGAGGAAATTAGCATGTTGTTTCAGGTAGTTTTAGTGTTTCAGGCAGTATTAGCGGTTTCAGTTCCTTGGGAATAAGGAGTATCTGGGTGTTCGGATACTGCCAATTCATTCACACCAGGATTAAATAATCTCATAATAGTATGAGTCTCACTGTTATAGGGATGAATCTTCTACTAAAAGGATTATCTAAGCCTACTGTCAAGTGTAGTTATCTACAGGGATAGTTGTCAAGTGATTATGTTTCTAATAGGAAATCCCTAATATCCAAAGTTGAGTAGTCAGTTAGGAAATTTATGGGATGGATTCCGCTTTGGTTCAGTAAGGGCGTCTGTCAGGGAGTCAGGCCATCTTGAGATTTCAAATTTCAGACTAAGTGAATGCGATTATGTTTCAAGGAATTTGTTTCATCTTTGGGGTTTAGAACCCGGTGGGTTGGTTTTGGTTGCCTGGGAAAGGCAATGATATGCTCAGGAATGTGGCCATACTACTCAGGCTGTTTGGCGAGTTGGGGATGGTAAGTAATGATTTCGAGGATGAAATATAATTTAAGTGTGGGAGAGTTGTAACATCCCATTTGAAATAGAGTAATTAAATAATAAACCAGGAAATCCAAGGTGTAAATTTATATTTGATTATAGCCAAAATGCATAATATTTATCAGGGTGTTGGTTTCGGGGAGCCAAACGATATAATTTGGACATTCAGGGGATAAGTGTAATTCAGGGATAAAAAGGTAACTTCTGGATTAGTTTTGCAAAAGATTCTCAAAGTGGAGGGCTGTTTGGTAAGTATTGGACCTAAATTTAAATGAATTTGGAATGCTGAGGGCCAAATGGGTAAATTATGGATTCATTTTGAAAGAAAAGGGAGAAGGAGGGACCGATTTCATCATTATGGAAGGTAGTTTTATGGGGGTCGGCGTATATAACCCGTCAACCCCGGTAACTATGACAATCATCAATTGTTGGTTAAGTTAAGTCAACAAGTCAACTCAGTAGTACATGTATATTAGCGCTTACACTATGTGTAACACCCTGTTTATTTATTAAATAAATAAACAAAATAATGAATGAATGGTAGCCCTCAAATAAATAATTATATATGCAGGTTGTTGGCTTCGAGGAGTTAATTGGCACAATTCAGAAAGTTGGGGGTTAAAAATGTAACTTCCGGATTGGTTTTGTAATAATTATAAAGGTAGAGACTACTTGATGAATTATTCGGACTTAATTGAAGAATTTTGAAGACTAAGGGCTATATAAGTAATTTTGGAGTTTATTTGAAAGGAAAAGAGGTGGAAGGGCTGAATATGTCATAATTGAGATATTGGGGGTTTAAAGGGTAACTTCTGGACCGGCTTTGCAAAGAAATTCAAGAACGGAGGGTTGTTTGGTAAGTATTGTACTTGATTTGTAATGAATTTTAATGATGAGGGTCTAAATGGTAAGTTATGGATTCGTTTTTAAAGAAAAGGTGGAAGGAGGGGCAAATTCGGTCATTATGGAAATAATGCTTATGGGGCTCGGGAGTATATAACCGTTGCCTACCCTAACCCTAAGGAAAACCTCTCCAGCCACCATGGGTGAAGTCAGCCACCACCACCTCCCTTCTGTTCGCTGTTCCGATCAACGAGGATACCTACCACCTCACCATTGAGCACCGCCGGCTGCTACACTGCTATGGAAGGTCGCCATTGCGACGCTGCTGTCGGAGAACCACCGAGGGTCGAGGAACACGGTGAGCCGTCGTTCACCAAGGTGGGCTTTGCTGAGCTTTATCACCACCATTTTTTGTTGCCACTTTATCTCCTCTTCTTTTGTCGTCAAGCTATCGCCGCCATCGCCTTATCAAGCAACGAGTGCGGCTCTGGATGGCGTTTCTCTCCGACTATCGTGAGCCACCGTGGGGGTGGCTGTGATTGGGTGTGTTCCCCTTGCTTGAACTGTGTTAGTGTGTGCGTATGCCTTCTGTTGGGCGTAAAAACGTGGTAACCAGCATGGCTTCCCACCATGGTGGCCATTTCCTTGTTGTCACCGCAATCCGTCATTGATTGCCACTAAAGTGTTGCTGCCATCGCCGCCCACCACAGGTGGCTGTGATTGGGTGTCGGATTCGTTTTCCAAGAAAAAATGCATACGGGTGTGTGTGATGGGTGATTTCATTTGGTCGGAAAACTGAAAATAGCCACCACCACCGCCATGAGGTGGTGGCTACCACTATGCACCACCGTCAGCCACCTCAAGGTGGTTTGTGTGTGTTTAATATAGTTAGTGTGTGTTTATTTTTGGTTAAGGCATTGTAAAGTGTAATTAGCTAAATTATAATGAAATGAAATTTAAAACCACCACCTTAGGGTGGTGGTTGTCGCCTCTTGCCGCCACCGGCCACCGTGTCGGGTGGCAGTGCGCTTTGCCTCTTGTGATAGATTCGTTTGGGGTGCTAGAAACCCTAATGGGCTCAAAGGAGCTCTAATGGGCCCAATGAAGCTTAACGGACTCAAATGGACCCAATTAAACCCATATGGACTTAATAAGATTTTAGTGGGCTTATTAGGCCTAATAAAACCCTAGTTGTCATAAAAGGCCAACAAATTGATAAATGGGCTAATATTTAGATTGGAACACCATAATGCCAATAAAACCCTAATTTGTGGAAATTACTTGGGACACACACGAGAACTAATTATTAAATCTTAAATAATAATTAATAATCATTAGCAAACTAGCATAAGGAATAATGGACTTAATGGATTAAGTCCTTAATGGGTTTAGAAAGAAACACTGAACCTTAATCATCATTTCATGTGAAAACTCTAATTTGGGATTATGGGCTTGGACTTATCGAGACCCACATTTGGGCCATTGGAATGGAATTGTGTGATTAAGCCCAATCACACCATATGACTTATTTAGAAGAATGATGGACTTAATGGATTAAGTCCTTAGAGGAATAATTCCTTAATGGGTTAAGAAGGAAACTTAACCCTAATCGGCATTTTATGTGAAACCCTAACTTCGCTTGGGTTTATTGTTGGGCATTTCTATTGGGCCTTAATGATTGGATTATTAATAGGCCATCCAAGATAATTAATGGGCCTAAGGTAAGTCCCATGTAAGGGGTTGGGCCCAATTTGGAAACTTGGGCTATATATGGACCATAGTTGGGCCTTAATGATTGTATAATGTTGGGCCATAAGACCACATATAGGCTTGGGCCCAATTTGGAAAATTGGGCCATATGTTGGGCTTTCATTCCTAGTTCGCTTTGGGCCTATGGTTTGGGCCTTCGGCTTGAATAAAGCTAATCTTAGGGTAATGTAGTAATTATTCAAGTATGTATTTATCGTTATGTGTTAGGATCCAATTATTAATTGGGTGTTATTTTTGTTGGATTAATGTCTAAGTCCATAACTATATTTGGTATGTACTTGACCCGACCCGGCATGGTCCATTTGGGTTGCACTTCACCGGCACAATTTATATGGATAATCTTTTGAGAATAGTATGTTTATGATTAATATTAATATATTATAAGTTCTAATATATTAATATGGAAACATATTATTTAATTAGTATTGATCAAGAATTAATTTATAATTAATTAAGTGATCAAAAGGAACTAATTAAATATGGACTCTTATATATATATGGAATGGGCCAAGTTCATTTAGGTTGGGCTAAGCTTTCATGGATAGTCCATGGAGTTTTTAACCCATGGATCCTAGGAAATGAAAGGTCATGGGTATTATGGTTTAACCCTAATCCTCCATACTATATAAAGATGTCCTTGGTTGGTGAAATTGGCACTAGTGTGGTACACTAAGAAGGGCTAGCCAATTTCACTAGAGAGAACCAAGTATCCATATTCTCTAAAGTCTTCCAAGGTGTTTTGGTGATTTGTGATTCCACTTGAGGCTTCCACACTATTGGGGCTAAGCTCTTAAAGCTTGAAGACATCAAGTTACATCAAAAGGTATGTCATCTAACTAGTACTTTGTAGTATGAGATCTTCATGATATGCTAGTTAGAATTAAAGCCTTGGAAAGTTCTTATTTGCATGTATAATAGAAAAAACATATATCCAAGGTTTATAGGGTTGCATGTACACCATAGGAGTGTTAGAATGCTCAAAACCCAACAGTGGTATCAGAGCCTAGGCTTGTTTTCTTGTTATACTTGCAAAACTGCTTAAAAATTCGAAATTGTTGCTGTCTGATCATCAGACTCGGTGAGTCCATCAGGAGACTCGACGAGTCCATGCCTAAAAAGTGATCAAATCGATCCAACTCACCGAGATGGTTCATGCACTCGACAAGTTGGACCCCCAAACAGCATAAATTCGACTTTTTGGCTGGAATTGGACTAGGAACATTACCCTAAGATGTTTTTGAACTTATAAACTTGTTTTTGATGTGGTAATGTTCATGCTAATCCAATTATAAAGATAATTGTCAATAGATTCATGTTTTGTATTAGTTTAAAGTGTTACTCTAATTACATGAAAAAGTTTGATTGAATTATCTTGTTCTTATGAGTTGCTTAGATTAATAGAAAAGTTAATTGAAATAGTTGTTTTCAATCCATTTTAATCTAAGAGTTGAGTATAAAATGTGTTTGTGTAACTTGTCCTCAAGTTACATGAAGAGTCACATTAAAGACTCATAAAACTCATAAAAGTTGGCAATGGTTACAAAATGAAGAGTCTTGTGTCATTGAATATTTTTTTTATGACTCCATAACTTGTCCTCAAGTTATGGAAGTTCAAGAGTCACTTCATTAAAGAGTAAAAGTGTAACCTTAATTAATTCCATAAGTTATAAAATAAAGAAAAGTTAATTCTTTTATTAGTTTAAAGTCTTCCATAACTTGTCCTCAAGTTATGGAACTTGAAGAGTTTTTGGATTAAAACTACTTTAAACACATAAGTTATGGAATTAATTAGTTTTGAATAGTTTCAAAACTTGCCCTCAAGTTTTGGAATTTGTAAAGTTTTCTCTTATGAATACTTTAATTCCAAGTTAGCCCTTAGAATTTTAAAAGTTAAAATTCAACCCTTATACTTTATAATATTATAAGTTAATAATATATATATATATATATATATATATATATATATATATATATATATATATATATATGTATAAGAGTAAAGTCAGTCTTACCGCTAGTACGCCTCATTCACGAAGCCGGTCTATAAGGTGGGTATAAGGTTGTTGCCTATAAAATGGCAACTTAATGGGTGTCCACTCTCACCCACCGCTTGCTTGACTGGTGGAGGGTCGTTAGCCGAACGGGTTTGACAGGACTATAATTCTCCCTTCATTAAAAGTATTAATGATAAATACTAAGTAACTAAACTCTTAATAATACCCAATCTTAGTTACTTAGGAAAATGTGAATAAGGTGCTAATCCATGAAATTACACTTTGCACTTTGTTTAAGTCGGTTAGTGGAGCGTGTGTGGTTAACCGGCACACTAACTCGTATTTAACAAGGTAGGCAAAGGGTAACTTAATGTTTATCATAGTATCGATGGAGCGTGTGTGGTTAACCGGCACATCGATTGAGGGGTAAACACTTAAGGGTACCAAGTAATTTGCATGGTTACTTCACACCTTTTTTGTGATCCTCGGCATCCCAGTCACAAAACCTGAAGGGCACACTCGAGATTGAAACATGCCATTGAACAGTTCAATGAATCTCAAAGATCTAGGAGTTTCAAAACCAATTAAAACCTAATAATACATTTCGTTTATCTTGGTGGAAATTGGTGAATCGTCATTCACCTACCTTCAAATATTTTATAGCTTGGATTACGGCATACCTCTTCTAAGTTATAAAATAGTTTGTTGGGTCCTAGCCTTAATATTTCATATTGGGTGTCATATTAAGGACTTTAAATCAACTATCTTGAATATCTCCCAAAAGATGTCTGGTTTAGACATTTATGATCTTCCCAAATCTCTTGAAACAAGCTTTCCTAAATGAAGATGATGTCCCATGGAAATCATACTTCTTTCACCTCCTCCAATTATTCTCCCTAACCCACAAGTTCTTGAAAAGTTTAAGGTCACTCAAGCCCTATTGGCAAGGCAAGGTCTAGGTGTGATCACATCTTGGAGATGTAGTCACATATTGACAAGCCGGGAGAGTTGGGTGTCAAAGTCTTGAGAAAGTTAGTGGCTCAACTACTTTCTAAGTCACATAGTGAGTTCCTTTGGGACATCTATGAAATAGACTATGACAAGACCCTTAATGATCTTATCTATTTGCTAAGATCAACTTCCTAAAACTTTTGGACATTGACAATGGTGACACTGGAAATCCAGAAAAAAAACATTTCTGTTCCCAAGGAAAGGGATTGACCATAGTCAACTAGGTTGACCAAATGGTAAAGAGAAAGGCTAAGTCTGTGATAGTCCTGTGTACCATTACCAAAAGGTCCATATGTTTATATTGCCAAAGGAATGGGCATTGGTTGCGAAGCTGCCGAAATTTACCTAAGGATGTTAAAGTCAATAAGTTTGACTCTACTTCAGGTAAAGTCCACTATCTAACTCTGTTAAGTTTCTATTATGAGATTCTTGATACATGATGTGACTGGGTCACATGGTGCTGTTTTAAGAATCAAAGAAAAGTGAAGAAACTTAAAGAAAGAATATGCTGAATCTGATCGCATAGATGGATTTCTATCGCTTAGTTTGAAGATCGGATTCTTGATCTACTTCTTAGGAGTTATGAGATATTGCTTAGGAATAGATAACAATAATTTTTTATATGGATTGTAAGGATAAGTTTTTCCGCAAAGTTTTAAAATAAAAGAAAATTTTTGATTTTATTTATTTTAAAATATCCTTATAAAGGCATTTGAGGAAATTTTGTTGCTTATATGATTCCATTAATAACAAGAGTGGAAATATGAAATTGATTCTTTCATTTGTGGTAATGTCTAGATTTACCGAATAAGGAAAGATTCTCATCACCCAAATTTCAATTGGACTGGAACTTGGAATCATGCAAGTTGTATAGCATGATGAATGAGAACTTTCAAGTATTGGAAAATTAAGACTAATTACTTGTTCACATGGATGTGTGAGTCAAGTGAAGGACTAAGGGATCGAGTATACATTCTTGTGCACTGGTCAAGTCCACCACAAAAGATTGATAAAACTATTCGTCATAGTTTACTAAATCTTAGTAAATATGATTATACTTACAAGCTTAAGTGTAATTCTGAGACATTGGAAAAGGCTCCAATGTATGACAGAGCGAATAAGAAGAATCAAATTAGGCAGAAGCATAAAAGTTTCTCAAATCTGAAAATATGGGAGAGTACTTTAGTATCAATTTTTTTGTGATCATCTTAATGATTAAGGAACCATATCAAAATTAGTTCTCTAAGGAAATCTTAGTGCATTCTTATGACTAAGAAGAGGAACTTGAATTGTTGAAATGGTTAAATCAAGAAGATGA